CGAATATAAAACTTTTATCGCTAATATCTTTGTACACACAGATTATTCATGCCCTTGGCACTGTGTTAGAGTTTTCATCTACAGATATAAATCTCATCTTGCATGTCCGTGTCCATGTGGGAAATTTAAAAGGCTTCCTTTATATCCTTACACAGATTTTTGTGTAGTTGTAGGGAATTTATGCCTACAGGACCCTCTTCAGATGATATAAGGGGCTGTGGGGGAGGTTTTCTGGGATGGATCTTCTCATGTCACGCTGTGAAAGCTGTTGACAATTAGCAGCAGTTTTACATGTTGAGGACGCCGGACAGAAATATTTCAGGGAAACCTTTCACAGACCCAAGTTCTCCCTTCGCTTTTCTAAGTAGTGCCAGCATAGCTGCAATCTCGCTTTCCTACCGTTTTACTTACAAAGTTAATTTTCCCGTGCATTTGTTTTCATGGACTGCCTGCTTTCTCACAACGGCTTAGGAGACGTAACGAATGACAGTCGCCTTAGGATGCGCCGGTGGCTTTGGAGCACGTGTCTGCGTATTGCCACAGCGGAGAGGCTGTCAGAAGCACCCATGGAGTACTTGGGGCCTATTCGAAAAATCTTGTGAAAATATTTTCTCGCTGCCCCCTTTAAAAAATTTTTATCTTTTAAAAATGTGGGGGGTTATTTTGTTATAGCCAAGGGATTACTTGGAATAACTACCCCATGATAGTGGTCAAGCTGTAACCCGCCGTGTATGTCCCAGGAATGACAATCGGTTCGCTGTTTGGAGAGTCCCTTCCTGCGTCAGAAGGTCCTGAGGATTCTCTGCCTGTGGGAAGCGGGCAGAAGCCCCTGAGCTTAAACTTCCAGCCCCCCCCTTTCATCCCTTCCTTGTCTCCAAAATGTGCATGACCTGGAAGTAAAGGAATGGTCTTGAAGCTGCTTCATTTTCATGAAAAGCAGTAGATTTCTAAGTTAACTATTTCACAAGTAGCAACGTGCACGTAAGAGATGACAGTCACTCTGTTTTGAAGGGTGCTGCGGGTTTGGTGGCGGGGACCCGGGGAGAGCCAGCCTCTGGGTGAATCCACATAGACGTAGTAGAAGGTTCTGGTCCTTTGGGAGGAAGGAGAAACATAACAAAACCCTGATGTGCTCTATTTTATCCGTGATGTCTGCTGAGAAATTAGGGTCAGGACCCAGAAACTTTGCTCTATCTGCGGGTGTTTGTTTCGGCCCAGGTGGGGTGGGCTTCTCCCTTTGATGGGTCATTTCCTTTCCTCCTCTCACATTCCACGCTGCATTAAGATGACAAATTTCACTCACAGGCCCAGGCCCAGACATGAAAACCCGAGCCACAGAGCTCACGGAGTGAGTGCAGGGCAGTCGATTTATTGTGGGGAGAGAGGGAGTGTTGGAAGAGCGCAGGAGGATTGGAGAGCCCAGCTCTGCATCGGGGCTCAGGCGGGGTGGCCCCCCGCTGCCCCCAGCCAGGCTCTCCAGGGTGGACTTCGAAACGGCCAATTAATTAAGAAACTTTTTGAAAAGCCTGTGTGCCCGTATCCCAGACTCCTTGGCGAGTGGATGCAACTTTATTTGAACATAACCTTAGAGCTGGCTTTGCAGAAATATTTAGGGGGAACTAAGCAGACTAGAGGTTTTATGTTGAGCAGTGCACATGTCTCTTTTCCTATCCTGCCTTTAGTAAGGGGGGGGGATCTTGGACGGCACAGAGCAAATCCGTCACATCAAACAGGGCTGCCTTAACTACAAAAATGTTCAAAGTCCGACGGAGATAGATAAAGGCTTTGGTGGAAAGTGGATATTTCCCAGGGACATTGCGAGCAATAATCCAGATGTTCTGGGCTAACGCAACGAGTGTCCGCAGATAGATCGGGAGCTGCAGCCAAGCCGCGCCTGATGGAGGCCTTCGCCTCGCCCTCCCATGCTGTTCCGCCATATGGAACCTATCTCTAGGCCCCCTTAATAACCAGCTTTGGATCCCATTTTCACAGAGCTCCTAGAGCTAAGTGGGGCTGTTTTATGAACAAGTTAGACAGAAGCCTTTCCAAGATAAACATCCAATTTGAAATTAGGACATACCGAGCCGCAGAATTATTTTGAGCATATTTCATCGAAGCACTACCATTTTTCTTAGGCAGTTGCCAGACTGTAGGATGCCCTTTGATCTTCTGTGGACATGACTCCCTCCTTTTTAAAAAGGATTTTGAAATAGTTGCAGTGTTTAGGGAGGAATATATCTGTCGGGCCTTTGAAGCATGGCCATGGGACAGGTCATGCATTAGCGTGGTGGTTGGCAAGTCAAACTTGAAGAAGAGAAACACACACAAAAGGAAATGGCAGCAGGATATATGAATCAAAATCTCATTTTCTTTTTAAAGGTAGACGTTTTCAGCCTGTGCCGAATAAGCTATAAAATGTATCCACTGCATCTACCTCTATATGTACGCATATAGACACATAAACACGCATACATATATATTTATATACCTGTGTGTCTATTGTGATTGTATGTGTTGTTCTTTTTATTTTATTTTAATGTTTTTATTGATTTCAGAGAGAGGGAGGGAGAGACAGAAACGTCTTAGATGAGAGAGAGTCATTGATTTACTGCCTCCCGCACGCCCCCTGCTGGGGATCGAGGAGCCTGCACCCCGGGCCTGTGCCCTGACCGGGAATCGAACTGGCGACCTCCTGGTTCAACCACTGGGCCACGCTGGCCGGGTGGCATGTGTTGTTCTTAATAAGGGAAAATTGCTTCCCTTGAACTATCTCACAAACTTTCCTTAAGTAGCATATTCGATCCACGACCCAGGGGCAAATAGGAGTCACAAAAGAATGCTTATGTTCTCGAGAGGAGAGAGTTTTTTCTTCTTTATAAAACGAATTCCTTTCTTATCTGCCCTCCCTTCTCTGTCTCAGTGCCTCCAAAAGCCGTGCATGTGTGCGTGTGTATGTGCATGTGTGTGTGTGCATTTCAGGAGAAAAGCGCATGCATGTGAAGTATGGGGGCAGGTCCCCCTCAGTGTTTCAGGCGGGTATGAAATGATCGGCCGGACGCTCGGTGCGGTGTCCTTGAATCATTTATTCAGAGTGGCGGAGTGACGTGTGCCGGATGATGTAAGCCGGCAAATAATTAATACGGCCCTGGCATACCATTTGTTGTGATAAATTGTGACTAACTGGTGTCCGAGCAAATTGGTGTCTGAACGATCTGGAAGATCTATTGAGCGGATGACAGGAAGAATATATAGTGTTAGAAATTCATTGCTTTCCTATGATACTTGGTGCCATTTACATTCCACAGTCCATTTATTTCGCCTTCAAATAAAGTGGCCTGTGCGTGCGCCATTTCATTGAACAGAGAACATAAATGAACTCCGGCAACTAAGCGCAGCGTGCGGATCGCGCGGGGATCCTCGCTCGAACAAACTAACCATAAAACAACATTGTCGAGCCCGTCGGGGAAATGTAAACACGTTCTGGATAGTTCACCGTATTAAGGGGATTATGGCTGCTTCTGTTGAGTGTGATCATGGCATGGTGCTTACGTGAAAACAAATATGGATTTTGCTTTCCAGTATTTCAGCCAGAAGCCAGTAGCGAAGGGATAGATGAAATAAGCCCCTCAAATCGTGGGATCTGGTGAATAAGTCCTTGGAGATTTCAGATACTGATCTACCTTTGGATATGTTTGAAAATGGACAAAGTGGAAATTAAAAAATAAAGTGTGCTGGTCCTCTTGATAGTTTAATAATGGGAGATGTTTGCCTTTTTCTCTATGTGGTTTAAGGTGTACATGAGTGGGCTTGAGTCACATAATTTAGAAGGAAACACATGAGTTAATAGTTGCTGAACCGTCCCGGGCCCATGCTAAGTCCCTTATGTACCCTTCCCTGCCCCGAATCTGGGCGGCTAACCGGCCGGCCCATCGCAGGCTCTGTCTGGAGCCGTGACTCTCGCAGGAGCTTTCTAGCAGCCGCCCAAGGAATCAAGGGAACTGGGGACAGATTCGAGTGGGAAGGGTCACTTCCAAGCCGCTGGTTCTGAATGCCCAGAGCTCTTTTGTCTGCCTGCAAAGCGATGCCGTGGCCTTGTACCCCTTTCTCAGAATGCCCTCCTTCCCTCCCTGCTATCGAAACGGCCAAGGGCCCTGTTGAAGGGCTGCTACCCGAGATCGGGGCGGGGGCACAGGCTCCTACCCGAGATGGGGGTGGGGACACAGGCTCCTACCCGAG